TTTCCACAAATTCTAATGTTTAATATTAAATTGATGAATATTGTATGTTTATTATTGACAGAACAGTGTGTTGTCTCAATATTAAAGTAGTTCAAAGCAATACAGGCATTAATTCAGTTTTTTTATCAATGAGTCACATGTGTCTATTTTTCTGTACTTCAGGAAACCAGCTACCTATTTCACTACTGTGAAGTTTTTCAAGAACGATAACTCTTACCTACAATTACTATGTGTAGATGGTTTTATTATAAAATGTCAATTTTTATATCGTGTATAGAGAATTAATTTTACACAATTTCAGCATTTATTGAATTGATATACATTAATGCAATACTGATATATGTCAGTATCATTTTTATAGACATTATTTTGTAAAAACATTGTGTCTTTTTTTTTTTTTCAAAATTCACTCCTTTTTACATAAATTTCCATTTAAAAACCTTAAAATTCTGACAACCTATATTTTTTTTTGTGGCAGAAAATTTTCTTTACTTTAAAGCAATATAACTACAAAATTTGAAGAAATTCTACTGAGAAATGGTGACACAATCCTATTACCTTAAGCCCCAATCGGCACTTGACATTACATCGCCTTCTTGGTTTTATGCTTTATAGTTGCAGTCTAACATCTGTTATTGCTTATAAATTATGCTATGTATATATTCTTTGTATGGTTAAAATATTTTAAAATTCTGAAACAAGTAAAGCTTCATTTTCATAGCTTTAAATTAAGTGACCCATATTATATATCTGACTTTCTGCTAAAAGAGTAAAATAGCATTTGTAGATATAATCATAGCCTGTGCATAAAAATAACCTACTGAAAATGAAATTATCCACTTTTCAGCTCACCTGGTCCGAAGAAACAGTGAGCTTATGTTGGGACACTATGTCAAAATATGAAAAAAACCCACTTGTGGGTCTAAAATGGACCCAACCATTTTTTATGCGAGTAATATTTGTGGTGATCGAGTGTTGCATACTAAAATTATGTGTTTTGCCCAAATAGATAGAGATATGGCCTTTTGTTCATTTTTGATACCAAGTCTGTCCAAAATGTTAACCTTTAACCCTTTCACCACTGTAGATTAGTAATGGACTCATCCAGATGAATGTATGGTAGAGTCTACTCAAGTTACCTAGGGGTGAACGGGTTAATTACTTTCTTGATACTCAGCTACATTCACCGAACTTCTAAGTATCCCGGGATAAATATTTTCTGAATTATTAAGTCTGAATTATAACATTATAATTATCTACATCCTTTGACCAGTCATCCTCAGTATCCAGGGGTTACGCTCACTTTCGCTCCCTGGAAAATGTCATAGCAAAATTGAAGGCACAAAGATAGCCGTTTGATTGGTCTCAGTTAAAAAAATTACTTACCAATCGCTAGGTTGATAGGTATACCTGTCCTTTGAAGATTACAAAGGAGAGACGCTCGACTTCAAAGCCTGTCTATTTTTACCATTAGGTGACACTTCAAAGCCCGTCATTTTTTCCGTTTTGTGACCACGAGATTATTTTGATGTATATCAAAGGATCAAACTAGTCTTCTTGTCTGATCAACAAGGTAGGCGCACAAGTGACTGAGCCTTCAATTTTGATATGACATATATTGCAGGGGTCCAGAGAGCGAAAGTGAGCGTAACCCCTGGATATCGAGGATGGTGACCGGTAGACTAGAGGTCTGTTGATGACATGGAAAATTTCGCCTCGGTATAAGTATGACGTAACACATGCTTGCTATAGCTTTTATCCTTTATTTATTTCACAAATGTTTAACAACAGTAAGACGTATAACAGAGTACCAACAATCTTTGTATACTGTACACATCCTTATAAACACTCCTCCACAGTAAATAATGCATACGATAAATATTCTCTCAAACACCCTAGCCTCCATAGGCAATAATTTATGCTGTAATAATTCTTATAGAAAACCCTCCTTGTTAAACAGTTCCCATTTTAAACATTCTTATGAACTACCACCCCACAGTACTGTTTGCTATTGATGTTCTTATAAAAACCTTTCTTTAACAATTTGATGCTGTAATTGTTCTCATAAATACCCATCAACAGGAAATACTGTAAACATTCTAATGAACACCCCTCAACAGGAAATACTGTAAACATTCTAATGAACACCCCTCAACAGGAAATACTGTAAACATTCTAATGAATACCCCTATACCATATACACCCCTGAGAAATAAACAATCAATAGACTCTCATGAAAACCCTTCCAAAATAAATACCTGTGTAAGCACTCACACCAACATGTTCCAAATTCAGGTAATAGTAAAAGATTTCTACTATAAATACTTCATCAACAACTGTTTACAGTAACCTATACATCCCTATCCACCATATCCAGGGGTTACGCTCACTTTCACACACTACACCCCTGGAATATATATGTCATAGCAAAATCTAAGGTTCAGTGTGCAGCACCTTGTGGATAAGACAAGGAGACTAGTTTGGTCCTTTGATATACATCTAAATAATCTCGGGCATCAAATTGGGCATCGCACCTTTGTAATCTTCAAAAGACAAGTATCAGACTAATGATTGGTCAGGTTTTTCTACCAGACACCAATCAAATAGCTAGCCACGTGCCTTAATTTTGCTATGACATATTCCATGGGCATTGAGAGCTAAAATGAGTGTAACCCCTGGATATCAAGGATGATACATACCATAAATATCCTTGTAAAAAAATTCCTTTACAGAAAGAACTTAATTCTGAAAACAATTTCTTTAACAGCTTCCACATGTAGGAAATCAGATTTGCCTTTCCATTCCATTATACGAACCTCACATTTAGTACTATTTCAAAGTATTTCTTATAAGGTTATGATGGAGATATTCAACACATATAGCAGAACAATGACTATATCCTTAACAGTATATCAATAACTTTTGCTTCTAAATTTGTTATATTACATAATCATGAACATATGTGCTGGTGACCTCCTTTACAAATAATCAAATAATCATAAAAAACATAACATAAATTGGTATGCCAGACAAACGTTTCTGTGAACATAAAACTTTCCCTTAACCCTTTCACCACTGTAGACCATAATGGACCCCTCCATATCAATGCATCACGTGACCAGTCAACAGTCGTAGGGTAGCAAGCACCGGTTCATCACGTAACCAGTCAACAGTTGTAGGGTAGCAAGCACCGGTTCATCACATGACCAGTCAACAGTTTTACGGTAGCACACATTAGCTATAGTTGGTTTGGTGAATTGTCTGAGAAACAGTCGAAATTGATTTATATGCATTTATATAGCGAGTCAGGTAGCAATGACATTTACCTTTCACTACCAAAATCATCAATAATCTTCTAAACTAATGTGTTTGTACAATTTCAAGGTTTTAGGTGGAATTGAACATATTAAAGAGTCTGCACTTAACCCTTTCACCACTGCAGACAATAATGGACTCATCCAGATCAATGCACGGTAGAGTCTGCTAAAGTTATTTAGGGGTGAAAGGGTAATTCATTTTTGCATGATTGCTGCACTTTGACCTTTAACTAACTCCAATATCATTAGATTTACACCTTAAGAAGTGCAGTAATTATGTTCATACAATACATGTAGGTAACACAGGGACTTTGGAGTACACAGAGCATGTCTGCACCCAAAAATTCACACCTTGTTCCTCTCTCCATCTCCTGGGCAGTCAAAATTAACTCGTTCACCTCTGAAGTTTCACAATGAACTATTCCAACCTTTGAACTTCAGGAGTTCCAATGTGTCTTCAGGGGTACATGAGTTAAGGAATGTATCCAAGTGACAGGAAACCAGTGTTTGTAAGGACAGATGAAAGGGACTTCACTATACACCTTGTAAACTTACCAGGTAACAGGCTTTTTGTGACCACATACTAACGATATAGTTCACTGGTTGCCATTATAGAATTTGATGTGCGCGAGACATGTCCTCATGAAGGGCTGAAATATCCTTTTATCTAATTGTCTATAAACACATGTTCCTATAGGAACGCAATAATATTAATAAAACTAAAAAGTCACTCATTTTCCAAGCTTTCGGGCTTAGCCCTTCATCCTTGATAGTTTACTCATCCTGTTTGTCAAAATGGATGTGACATAGAGGTCCGTTGACATTTAATCCCTTATATTATCTCATAAATTAGTTTGGGTAAAAGGTAACAATGGTGAAAAAAGATTAGATATTGCAGGCAGAATTGTTTAGTTATATAAATATATATTTGTCAGATTAGGAAGGATGTTTAAATCCACAGGTCAATAACTTGGTTGTTTTCATTAGAAACTGAATAGCAGCATAATGTTGGAAGTGTGTCAGAATACTCAGGGGTCTGATTAGATTGATATCATTGTACATCATGTTGGATTGGACAAGGTGTCACAATACTCAGGTGTTGGATTTGATAGTATGTCAGAAAACTCAAGGGTCAGATTATAAATTATAAAATGGTCACTATACATCATTATGTTTGATAAGACAGATGTCGGAATGATCAATGTATATAGTTACATTTCTGCACTCATATCTTCTATAAGCACACAATTCAGTTGATATATATAGTTTCTGGTGCATCAATACTTTCAGCTTTGGCTCAAGGTGATTAAAATGATGATTATTTTTTGTTACTGTACATTATTCATTCATGTACTCGAAGTACAGAGAAAACAGTACTGAAATAAGACTTTTGTAGAACGAATCTTCTTTTTCTGTTAAATCTTTCACAATATGTACAATATTTTGAAGTACATGTACATTATTGATAATATATATGTCTCTACAAATAATTATACATACAGAATGTATGAATAGAGAAAATTTGTCCTTAAAAGTTCAAGATATAATCAACCAAGATCTAAAAAGATTGTAAAATATCTACGATGAAAATTTATTTATAAGTTAAGAGTGCAATTAAGGATAGGTGAAAATTTGCCATTAATTGGCAAGAGGAAATATATTTCATTATCAATCATACATTCTATAGTTGTTGTTTTATTCTTAAATCTAGATACATAGTGTAAGAGATTTAAAAGTGCATATATGCTGAAAAATCACAAAATAATTCGAGTTGAACATGTACCAAGGATTACCTCCCCTTGTCCATGTGTTGCTTCAGTTCTTTGTCGAAATATATCAGTCACTGCATGGCCAGTCTTCGATTTATGAAAATATTGAGAATATGTACTAAAGAGAAGAAAATGACTGAAATTTGTAAACTTTCAGTTTTGCTAAGATTTGTCTTTGGTTGAATTCACTATTCGAGATGTTAAGTGAATATGAGGTCCAACAGCTAGTTTAATTTAGTTAACCCTTTCACCAATGTAGACCGTAATGGATTCATCCAGATAAATGTATGGTAGAGTCTACTCAAGGAACCTAGGGGTGAAAGGGTTAAAACATAAATAATATATACCTGGGCACTAATTGGAAACATAAACACTTCTATGCAAAAATAAATCCATTTCTTCAAAATACTGACAAGCTAGGTCAGATGGGAATGTACTGGTCTTCCAAGATGACTTTGACATCTGTATATCTGTTGTCTTGGCGTTAAATACAATATTTGATGATGTGGTACACAGCAGTTATGATGTCATCACATGGAATTATTTACATGATAAAATAACTAATTGTTATTGATCATGATGTACAATGATGTCATCAAGAGTGTTGTCAGATACAATTCTGATGATGTCATACACAACTTTCATAAGTGTCTTTTGGATACTGTGAGGCATCAAAATTTGAATTTGAAGCTGAAGATGATGAAGGCCAACCTGTAAAAATAAAAACAAATTATATAACAGACTAAAATGAATATGCTGTAATATTTATTAAGTTAATGAAGGATTACAAGGTCATCTTTTCAAGGAAATTTGGTATCCCTTTACCCTCCATGTTGTGAGCCACAAGAAAAATATGATGGCTCTATGACTTAGGTTTCTATATAAAAAGGCTTTTGAAATTTCCAACATATTTGATATCTGTGACCTTAATAGTGGTTAAAAGTCATTTAAATTTGATAAACCAAAGAAAGCTACAGGTCCAATAAAACTCTAGGGCTCTGATATGAATAATTTGAATCTTTTTACATCTGACCCTGTGACCTTGCTAAAGTCAAATGAACTTCATTTCCCACTAACTCAATAAGTCAAAGAACAAACACCATAGTTTTCAGCTTCATGCTCTTGAAGATAAAACACTTGAAGCTTTAAAGTATTTGAAACCATGCAGTGGCATTGAAAATGGGTCAAAGTCACTTGTGTTAACAAATTTGATTGCTATTTACTTCTAGCTATAGACTATAAATGCATGCCAATAACATAACTCTTTGAATTGTAATGTTGTAGAAGTAGATGTTTTACATATCTAATACATGTGACCTTGAAAGTGGATAAAAGTCGTTCATTTAAGCATGCTATAAGTCAAATATCATGTACATACTTATTGTTGTGCATAAGTTGTTTGAAGTTTTGAACATATTTAGCTTGTCAACCTTAAAATTAAGCTAGTGTAGTTCATTCCATGAATCACAGTTAATAGTACTTATATTCCGTGCAAGCTGCAAATTAATATCTGTAGCCCAAGGCTTAAGGTAAAAAGGGTAGCGCAAAAGTCTGACATTAGTGAAATATCTAGCTTCGTTATCAAGTGGTTCAATGAACTGCTGACCCACATATGGACTAGTAAAGTTTTGATACAGACATGCACTACTTATCATTTTGAACAATATTGAGTAAGTGGAGGAATAAACACTGGGAAGTATTATCCTGACCGACTGTAGTGGCTTTCAAAAGTAATTTTTAGCCAATGCCACTGGCCTTTCAATGAGGCCAAGATCATTTAATTAAACAAACGATAGTCCTTGACCTCAACAAGCTAAATACCAAACATACTTATATCATTATTAGCATGACTGAATGCCTTAGTTGAATAAGGAAGATGTCGACTGCCAAAAGACAAATATTAACATTTCATCTATAAAAGGAAAATGGATAGGTACAGCTAACACACAGCGTTGTCGACTGAGAATACATTTAGAAGTAGCGTTATAGAACATACAATAAAACCAGGCAACTGGAGTTCTGATCCATTAGCTATCTGGTTGGATAGATATATACACAAAGATTACCTTTGAGATCTATACCGAAGCAGGTTAGTCTGGTCAGGTCTGAATTGGATTTATTGGTTACGATTGCACTTCGGACATTGACCAGAGATGACCGCCGACTGGACACAGACTGCATATAATTTGGATTGGTCAGTAACAGTTCTTGGATTTGGTATAATTTGGTACTGACATCCTTGCCCACAAGCACATGCAGAATGGATGCCATGAAACTGTCTGTATCTAGATGGTTTTTCAGCTGAGGAATGGGCCATGTCAATAAAAGACTGTCATCAGCTGCTTCTATTGAAACCTGGTGTTAAAAAATTACAAAAAATACAACATAATAAAACATGAAATCAAGACAAAAGGTAACTGCAGTCAAACCCGTGCTAAGAGACCACCCTCAAGGAGTCTAAAAAGTGGTCTCTTAACACAGGTGGTCTCTTAACACAAGTGGTCTCTTAACACAAGTGGTCTCTTAAAACAGGTTAATTCACATTCAATGAAGTCACTGGGGAGCATTAAAAGTTGTCTCTTTATACAGTTGGTCTCTTTACACAGGTGGTCTCTTAATGAAGGTGTTTGGGTGAGCAGGTATGAATGCACTATTTCATGTTACTTTGATGTGAAGTCAGCCTGGTAATGTTTTAGATCAATGCTATGTTGTGACAGCTTAAGATTAAATGCCATCAATACTCAGAATTATTTCAAATACATCCAGTTTCTGTTTTCAAAATTAGAAATCCTTTGAACTTTGTACACTTTCACTGTGTAGTGAGGATCATCTTATCTTTTCAAGGATAAAATACTGATGTAAGTCAGGTGATAATGGTTGATAAATATTATTTATTTAGACATTCTTTCAGAAAAAAGTGACAATTTCATTTCATTTTTATCTCTGCTGTCAAGTAAAAGATGTTTGTGAGATAACATCACAACATCTGGTACACTATCTAGCCACTGGGACCCAGATTAACACCTCTTAGGATTTGACCAAAATAATATATATATACCATATTGTTGACATATATATGTGGAAAACAATAAGTTATGATGGTGTTATTACAAGTACAAAGGTTCATTTAAAATATCTCTGCACTAAATATGATAAGATGTTGAGAACATTTATCAAATTCATGGTTGGTAGCAGAAGAATAACCATATCTTCTATTAATTATTTTGTTGCTTAATTCTTTCTGAATGAAATTTCAGAAAAAATTGCAAAAGCTTGTAATTGTAGACCACAAACAGGTGAAGGTTATAGACATTATATATATATATATATACAGTAAAACCTTGTCATAATGCCACCATTATTTGAGCAAAAATGTGCAATTGTTAACCCTTTCACCCCTATGTAACTTTAGTAGACTCTACCATGCACTGATGTGGATGAATCCATTTTGGTCTACAGTGGTGAAAGGGTTACAAGGTGTTTGGCCATCAATTGAGAAAACTGTATAAATGAATTCTGATTCGGAAATGAGAAAACAGGACCTTGATAAATGTCAGCATTTGAAGCGTGGTGGAAAATGAAAGAGGGGCATTTTCCAAAGTTTTTACCGTAAATTGATATTGACACCTTATTATTGCCTTAAACATTTATCAGTCATACAATATGTCAATCTAACAATATCACTTTGAACAGTTGAAGGTTACAGCCATATTGCAATTAATGTCATCGTGACAGGTAAATATCAACATCGACTTGAAGAGGTAAAGGTCATAATTTTGTATGTATCAACATCACCTTGAAGTCATAGACATAAAACAGCATCACCTTGAATGTTGTATAACATGGAATGTTTTGGAGTATACTTTTTTTATGGTGTGAAAATACAGAGTATTCAGATTCCCCATATATAAAACAACTAGGAGTTTACATTCGCGTATCCAGTTGAAACGGTTGAACCTGTAAAGAAAACGACAGGCACAGATCTGAACCCAGGCTGACCTCAGTAAAATTTGGCACGTGTAGATTGTGGGGTCGAGACATACCTGACTAATGTCAAGCCACATGTAGTTTTTTTATATACGTTATGTCATTCAGTGGACGGATGAAAGGAGGGCATAATATTCTTGATACATTGTTTTTTATTCTCCGAAACTGTGCATTTATAGATCTGCTTATAGAACAGTCCAAGTGCGTTTGTTTATCGTGGAATATTTCTGCGCCACACATACCGTTTCAACCGAGATAAGCAAATGTAACCCAGTACTCAAATATTTTAACTAAATTAAAGTCTGGCTAGTATATAATTGTATAAAAAAAAACTTATAGCTCTAATATCTTGCATTTTGAATTATTAATTTAATTGTGTAATGGTATATTTTTGATATGGAAATAGAGGCGTAAAGCCTGCGTCCTTTACAATTCCTATTAAAAAATCCTAACACTTTCTTTAATTTACCAAATAGCGTTCTGTGTCCTTTTAATTACAGGTAATGCATGGTTACTAAAAACTACCTTACCAATAAATAATCTTTTGTGCAGATGCACTGTACATTGTACAAAAAAACTGAATGTATATTGAACATGTTTTCCTCCCTATAGAAGTCCCATTAATGAAAGTCATATATAGATGTAGGTCAATGTTCATTACCGGACCATCCGCTATAGAGAACCACTAGCTTCTCTGAGGATTTCTGGTCCACTCTTAGAGAGTTCCTGGTAGTTTACAAGAGAAGTGCTCAATCTAATGGCCTATATATGTATAAGCCAATTCTTGCATAAACAAATGACATGTAATGGAAACATTCCTTATCCAGTCTACAGCAATTTGATACAAAATTAGGGCACTACCCTCTGCTTTGTATATCTATATAAACGGCAGTGTATATTAAATATGTTACAAAGCAAAAGATGAAAGAAAACTTTATATTAATGTCTATATCCATTAGAGGTTTCTAGACTCCAGCTCCCCCAGCATTAGTACCAGGTAAAAGCCTTCCTTTCAGAACTAAATTGAACATGTCTGTGATCTTATATTTAGTAAGCCTAATTACCACCAGGATTTACGTTTTCTTCATTTCTACATATTTATACACATGGCTATACCTTTACAATTCCAACATAATAATACATGTATCTCTTACATTATGCCCACATACTACTACCTCGTACAATGCCCACATATTAATACCTGACTTACAATGCTCACATACTAATACATCTTACAATGCCCACATACTAATACCTGGCTTACAATGCCCACATACTAATACCTGGCTTACAATGCCCACATACTAATACCTGACTTACAATGCCAACATACTAATACCTCGTACAATACCCACATACTGATCTTTTACAATTCCAACATAATAATACATGTACCTCTTACATTATGCCCCCATACTAATACCTCGTACAATGCCCACATACTAATTCCTGACTTACAATGCCCACATACTAATACCTCTTACAATGCCCACATATTAATACCTGACTTACAATGCCCACATACAAATACCTGACTTACAATGCCAACATACTAATACCTCGTACAATACCCACATACTGATCTTTTACAATTCCAACATAATAATACATGTATCTCTTACATTATGCCCACATACTACTACCTCGTACAATGCCCACATATTAATCCCTGACTTACAATGCCCACATACTAATACCTGTCTTCCAATGCTCACATTGTAATACATCTTACAATGCCCACATACAAATACCTGACTTACAATGCCCACATACAAATACCTGACTTACAATGCTCACATACATGTACCTCTTACATTATGCCCACATACTAATACCTCGTACAATGCCCACATACTGATCTTTTACAATTCCAACATAATAATACATGTACCTCTTACATTATGCCCCCATACTAATACCTCGTACAATGCCCACATACTGATCTTTTACAATTCCAACATAATAATACATGTACCTCTTACATTATGCCCACATACTAATACCTCGTACAATGCCCACATACTAATACCTGACTTACAATGCCCACATACAAATACCTGACTTACAATGCTCACATACTAATACATCTTACAATGCCCACATTCTAATACCTGAATTACATTGCCCACATACTAATACCTGACTTACAATGCCCGCATACCAATACCTCTTACAATGCCCACATACCAATACCTGACTTACAATGCCCACATACAAATACCTGACTTACAATGCCCACAAACCAATACCTCTTACAATGCCCACATACTAATACATCTTACAATGCCCACATACTAATATCTCGTACAATGCCCACATACTTATACCTCTTACAATGCCTACATACCAATACCTGCCTTACAATGCCCACATATTAATACCTGACTTACAAGGCCCACATACTAATACCCGACTTACAATGCCCACAAACCAATACCGCTTACAATGCCCACATACTCATAACTGACTTACAATGCTCACATGCTAATACATCTTACAATACTCAAAAACTAATACATCATACAATGCTCACATACTCATACCTGACTTACAATGCCACATACTAATACCTGTCTTAAAATGCCCACATACAAATGCCTGACTTACAATGCCCAAATACAAATACCTGACTTAAAATGCCCACATACAAATACCTGTCTTACAATGCCCACATCCCACATACTAATACATCATACAATGCTCACATACTAATACCTCTACAATGCCCACATACAAATTCCTGACTTACAATGCCCAAATACAAATACCTGTCTTACAATGCCCACATGCAAATACCTGACTTACAAGGCCCACATACTAATACCTATTAAAATGCTCCCATGCTAAAACATGACTTACAATGCCCACAAACCAATACCGCTTACAATGCCCACATATTAATACCTGACTTACAAGGCCCACATACCAATACCTGCCTTACAATGCCGACATACTAATACCTGACTTAAAATGCCCACATACAAATACCTGTCTTACAATGCCCACATTCTAATACCTTTTACAATGACCACATACTAATACATCTTACAACGCTCATATACCAATACCTGACTTAAAATGCCAACATACCAATACCTGACTTACAATTCTCACATACTAATACCTGTCTTAAAATGCCCACATACAAATTCCTGACTTACAATGCCCACAAACCAATTAATACATGTATCTCTTACATTATGCCCACATACTACTACCTGACTTACAATGCCAACATACCAATACCTGACTTAAAATGCCAACATACCAATACCTGGCTTACAATGCCCACATATTAATACCTGACTTACAATACCCACATTCTAATACCTTTTACAATGCCCACATAGTAATACATCTTACAATGATCACATACTAATACATCTTACAAAGCCCACATACTAATACCGGACTTACAATGCCCACAAACTAATACCTCTTACAATGCCCACATCCCAATACCTGACTTACATTGCCCACATACTAATACCTATTACAATGCTCACATACTAATACCTGACTTACAATGCCCACATTCTAATACCTTTTACAATGCCCACATACTAATACATCTTACAATGCCCACATACTAATTCCTATTACAATGCTCACATACTAATACCTGACTTACAATGCCCACATACCAATACCTCTTACAATGCCCACATACTAATACCTCGTACAATGCCCACATACTAATACCTGACTTACAATGGCCACATATTTATACATCTTACAATGCCCACATACTAATACATCTTACAATGTCCACATACTAATACCTCTTACAATGCCCACATACTTATACCTCTTACAATGCCCACATACTAATACCTCTTACAATGCCCACATACTAAAACCTCGTACAATGCCCACATACCAATACCTCTTATAATGCCCACATACTAATACCTCTCACAATGCTCACATACTAATACCTCTTACAATGCCCACATACCAATACCTCTTATAATGCCCACATACCAATACCTCTTACAATGCCCACATACTAATACCTCTTACAATGCCCACATACATGTACTCTTACTTATCTTTCTTCTGAGAAAACTGTCCTGCCCTGTTTATGCTAAATTCTTTTTTTGATCTTACTTAAGTTTCCATCTGTTCTGTTTTTCCCTATATCCTCCCTTTCATTGGAGAACCAGCACATCTGCATACATGCTATACCCATTTGACTTGTCAATTTTTTTATCCAACTCCTGCACCTATATCTCCCATTAATGTACATCTAGAACCTCAACCACTTGTGATTACACACCTGTTTATCTGTTATAATACCCATCTTTTAACTGCCTTTTCCTAAATTATCATTTCTTGGACCCTTACCTGCTACCCCATATTGCTTCATTCAAAGCACACCTATACATGTATGTCTCCACATAGCTCTAAACTCCCTGTCTCTATATCCTTCCATTGCTCTGTACTCTGCCTCACCCTAGCTAATCCCCCTCATTGCCCTCATGGTTTTATATCCCCTTGTGTTTTCTTGTCTTGCCCACCTGGAAGGTAGTGCCAGTGTGTCCAGTTAGCCGATAGGAGTCATACTCAGGTGAGTCCACCAGCTGGTCTGCCTCTATGAAATGTAGAAACAACTGCTGATACATCACTTTTAACCTACAGAATAAAAGGGTGAAGAAAAGCTTATTTTTACGTATTATAAATAGATAATATTTCTATGCTTATTTAATAAATGTGTTCAGAATTTAAAATTTCACTACACACAAACAATAAAGCACCTTTACAAAAAGCATAAATAAATAATTACATGCAGGTGACAAAATGTCTTCACTTAACAGTCTATTTCTCATTGTATTTTTAATTTGCTATCACAAATGATAATCCTATCTTACAAGTTATGGTAATTGATTTCCCAAATATGTTTAACTAATCCATTTTTTCACGATAACATTTAAAATTTTCCCTGATAAATTATACAAGAGGCCCAATGGGCCTGCATCACTCACCTGGTATTAATCTCACACTTGTAATCTTAAAAGTGGACTAAAATACAGCTACAGGCAGAATATCAGTGTTTGATTCACAAGAACCTATTAAAAGATTTAAACATGAAGCGTGTGTCCTTGAATGTCGAACAAGAACATTAGGTTGAAAGTGGTTCAAGGTCATTCATTTGAACAAACTTGGTAGCCCTTCATCCAAGCATGCTACAGGCCCAATATCAGTACCCTTGACCTTTTGGTTATTGAGAAGAAGTTGTTTGAAGATTTTAAGACATCTGACCCCAGTGACCTTGATAGTGGGTTAAGGTCATTCATACCAGCATGCTACAGGCCCAATATCAGTACCCTGAGCCTTATGGTTATTAAGAAGAAGTGGTTTGAAGATTTTAAGACATTTGACCCCTGTGACCTTCAAAGTTTGTCAAGGTCATTCATTTGAACAAACTTGGTAGCCCTTCATCACAGCATGCTACTAGCCAAATAGCATCATCCTAGGGTTTTCGGTTATTGTGAAGAAGTTGTTTAAAGGTTTTTAACATATTTGACCCCTGTGACCTTGAATATATATAAAGGTCATTCATTTGAACAAACTTGGCAGCCCTTCATCCTAGCATGTTACTGGCCAAATATCATTACCCTAGGCCTCTTAGTTATTGAGAAGAAGTTGTTTAAAGTTTTCAACATATTTGACCCCTGTGACCTTGAAAATAGGTGAAGGTCATTTATTTTAACAATCTTAACTCGTAGCCCTTCATCCCAGTTTGCATCTGGCCAAATATCATCATCATAGGCGTTTTGGTTATTGGGAAGAAGTAAATGTTTAAAGAAGAAAAATGACGCTGGACGCCAGAGGACGGACGGATGGACGCCGCACCATGGCATAAGCTCAGTTGGCCCTTCGGGTCAGGTGAGCTAATAAATGAAATATACAACATGAAATTCTTAGGCCCCTAAGTTCATGTATCCAGTTCAACTGTTTAACTCAACTGAACCCAAAAAGAAATGACCGGCTCAGATCTGACCTGAGGCTGACCCCTCATCCAAAATTTGGTATGTGCATTTTGAGGGGTCCAGATGTGCCTGACCAAAGCAAAAATATGTTATTTTAGGAACTGTTATAAAATTTAGTTCATTTGTGATAGAAGTACAGATTAGTCTTGATACATTATTATTTGTCACAAATTTTTGAAACTGTACATTTTCAGCATTGCCTATAAGATCAGCACAATTTATCATAGTATGATAGACTATTTCCGCACCACCTGAAGAAACAGGATAAGCAAAATTGGCTTATTTACTGTAATAGTAAGCTGTATTTACTCGCCACCATGACAAAGGACTATGTGTCATTTTTGGCCTCATTATAAGTGAAAATTTCAACTTGAATTTAATTACCATTTTCTATTATAAACATCATATTGGTAAATTGGGACTATCTTTCTTCGTGCAGAGTTTTTCAAACACGCATGCGTAGATGCCCTAGTACCATAGCAACAAAACTGCGTGGCTAGGCAGAAATTAATAGCCAAAATAGGGTGTTTTTGGACAGTTAGCATGTAGAAATGAAAGCCTCCGCATATGACAAACAAATATTCCTATCTACCAATGAACATTCGTATGAAAATTGTTAAGAATGTCAAATATTTATTTGCTTGGTGCAGGGGCTGACAGTCTTTCAAAAATTGAAAAGTGTTTAGTTAATTTCCTTCAAAATGGCAAATTTTCAACCAAATAGAGCACAACAGATGATATTCACACATTTTGTTATGAAAATGCGGGTTTTTTGTCTCTCGTTGTAATGTAACATCTCCTAAACCAGTTGTCAAATGAATTTGAAACATCATATTTGTGTACTTCATTTAATCTAGATAACGAATATAGCAACTAATTCTAAATGCCCGAAGAGGTGGGAAATGACCCTTAACCCTTTCAAAACTGTAGACCATAACGGACTCGTCCAGATCAATGCATGGTAGAGTCTACTAAAGTTACATACGGGTGAAAGGGTTAACGCTCCTAGTCCTTTGATTGCTGTTATTACAGAGGGGAAAAGGGTGAACATTATATGTTAAACTGCATGTTTTAAAAAATATCTGAACAATTTCAATTGAAGTATTTAAACTGTGAAAGATTATTACAAACATTTTAATATTGTTTCAAACATCAACATCCTATATATTTAAACATCATCAACCTATTAGATTGTTTTTCTTTAAATTGAAAACAAAGAAAGAAAAATCAAGCGCAGGATTTGCTATCAGACCATCATGAATTTGTGTTCAAGAAGGTAGCAAGAAACCTGTGTACAAATATGTACAATTATCCATATACCAGTTTAACTAATTATGACCAGTGGGGTATATCTGCTAGGGTTATGGGGGCTACTAACACAACAAGTTTTAACTTTGAATGATAAGTTTTCGAGTTTGCTATCTAGTGACCTTGACCTCTGGCATGTCATGCCTTAATCAAACCAATAGGGCGACACATACAAACAGTTTTAACTTTGCATGGTCATTACTTCTTTGGTTACCATTCTGACAATGGTAACCAAGCAATATTCTATTCTCAGCAGAGGTGACCTTAATGTCTGATGGACCCCACCCAGAATCAATAGGGTCCTTTGCATCTACTAGGGCAGCCCACACACCAAATTTGAACTTTGTGTGATTGTTCGCTCTCAAGTTGCCAGACAAATGCAACCAAACAGAACTCTTCTTTTCAGCAACTGTGACCTTGACCTCTAGCGAGGCATGGCAAAATCTATAAACTCTTTGCATGCACTAGGGCAACTTAATACAATGTTTGAAATTGCATAATCATTCATTCTCAAGTTATCATTTGGGCAGGAGCGACGGGACTAGACTGATGGAAGGATGGCCATTCTGTGTGACTGCTATATCCCCAAACTCACAATAGCCTTACTTTAATATTGTAACTAAGTATAAAGTGTATTTTATCTAGGTCCTAAAGGGTATATGGTACCGTTAAATTGACAAAGACAAAGGAACACACCTGCCTTTTACGAGTATGGAGAGTTTGCGTCCCCCTTCTGTGCAGCCTTCCTTTGCATAATATGTTCCCCTTGTCAGCACATAAAGTTCACCTTGGTCACTGATGTCTTTGAACTGCTGACGTGTCACTTTTAGGGGTTTAAATACTTTGCTGTATAATTCATCTAACTCGCTTCGGAACCTCGTTGGAAACATTCTGTACAGAAGTAATGACAAATGTCCAGTATTCACCACAAAGAATAAACAATTCCAGCTGAGCACATCCGGCATGCACACAAAAATTCCCGCCCATATTGAGAAAAACAAATATCCAAAGCCAAGAATGAACCGCAGAAAGAATGCGTGGTGATGGAAGTTAGTAGGTGTTAGAAAGGATAAAACCAGGCACAGATTGGCTAGCTGGAACAGGGCGTGTTGAACTTCCTGCCAGTCACTGCACCCACCCAGGATGTCTGGTGACCCTGTAGCATTCGTAGAATTCATGGGAAGAGGAACAAATGTGGTTGTGCTTGTCGACAAATTAGTCACAGTTTGTTGAAACACTTGTGATAGCGTGGACGTTGATAAGACAGGTGCTGCAGAGGTCTGCCAGCTAGATCTTGATGGTGCAACTGTAGATTCTGTTTCTCTCAACACCTTGGAAGTCAGTTCTGACAGTACAGTTGCTATAGTGTAATTCTCAGAATTTGGAGTTGTTTCCCCTGATGAACTCAGGGTTGTATTCAGTCTCATGATGCCTGTTGTTTTCGTGGACGCAATGCTGCAAATATAAATGAAAGAAAAAACAAAATAATTAGGACATGAAAAAAATAATCTTTAAGAAATAAAAAAGTATTGCATTTCTAAACATTCTAAAGCAAGGCAAGATGCAGAAAAAGATCACTTAAAAGTCTAGAATTTCTTATATCATTAGAAACGCACATATATCAGTTAATGTTTATTACGTGACCACATTTGTATGCAATAGTGAATTTCCTTTTCTATACCATGAAAATAATTATATTTAATTTTGACTTTAAAAGTAGAACGATCAAAGGTTCTGTCATAACCAGTAACCACTTCCAACTGGAAATTGTCTGGTCACAGTTCTTTCCTTCTGCTAGTCCAGAAAACTTTATTATTTCCTTACTTTTTCAATAAGGAAGTGCAATTTGGATGTTAATTGCTTGACATCAAGTCATATATATGGATGTTGCAGCCATTACTTTGATTGGTATAGCAGGACATGAAAGAGCAGGTCTACATTTTACCTGATTATAATACAATAACTAACTAACTAAAATATCTGTATGAAGTGAATATACTCCCTTGGCCCTATGGTTGACCTATAAATAGCAACTATGACCTTGGCATTGACCTTCTGACCCTGAAATACAATTTCATTCAAATTCTTCTCATAAGTAATCAGGACAGGACATAAGACAATATACCCCTCCTGTACACAATACATCACATTGCATCACAGAACCAGCTTTCTGGTACACCGACACACAATGGCATCACAGAACCAGCTTTCTGGTACACCGACACAAAATGGCATCACAAAATCAGCTTCTTGATACCCAAACACAAAAAAGCATCACATTACCAACTCCCTGATACCTTAATTTACACCAAATGGCATCAAAGAACCAGCTTTTTGTGACATTACAGGAGACTTAGACATCATTGAATCTCTTTTTGTTGTACACAGAACATAACATTGCATACAAAAATCAGGATATTTCATAAATTCGTTCCTTGTGTTCATTCTGATAGAACACAAGGTTGTGTCATAATGGACAACGCTTTCTATAAAATGTGGCCACTTTAAGCAGATTACTACTTATAAAGGTCACACAGTCTCATTAAGGTCATTTAAGGGTGTAAACTGACATTTTATCTCTTTTCTGTAATTCTCTTGGTACCAATCCTAATCGTCACGGTTGGTTGAATTTCAGTCATCTACAACCTCACCTTTGTGAAGAAAAGTCTTTATAATCAGGGTTTTTGATTGATTTCATTTTAATATTACATATTACTTAAGGCAACATTGAGAGCAAGATTAAGTTTATTTGGATTTTTATACTGTCTGGTAAAGGTCATCTTTGGGACCATTCCTAATCTTTATACATGAAAGAGGCAGTGTCTAATCTATCTACAAATTATAGAATCGGCACCTTAATCCTGTACGTAACTGAGCTCTTCATGCCATCATCAGGAAGGCTACAAATTAACGATTCCTCTATACAGAAAATTTTGATGCACTGAAATTATCTGAATACCACCACAAATTGCATTTCTTATCTTAGGGGCACAGATTCAGTGTATATCTTGACAGGCAATTAAAATGCCTCGGTTAACCCCTTTTTAATGGAACATTAGGAGGCCTGCGATCAATTGTATCTTTTCTAAATCAATCAGGCAAGAATTATCATCAAGCTGGTCATTCAATCATACTAAATATGGGTTGGTTATTTCAAAGATCACCTGGTTTACTATCGGTAGAAGATTCTAACGTCGTTACCAATTTGGGGAAGGCTTGGTGATAATGAGCATTTAGAGATGTAATAGCTAGGGCAGATTGTTTAGTTAGCGTATCTTAACAGGAGGCACGGTAGTCTAGTAGCTATAGTAGGACACAGGGCTCGTGACCGAAGGGTTGCGGGTTCGAGTCACAGCAAGACACTGTATTGTGTCTTTGAGCAAGATACTTTACTCCGCTTGTTCCAGTCTACTCAGCTGTAAATGAGTATGTGGTTGGGCAGCGCTAGAATTGTTGAATGCTACCTGTGAGCACCTATATGTAAATGGCAGCTCCGGCTGTATGCTCCCCAGGGAGTTGTGAATGATATTGGCTGGTTGCAAAGGCCCTATAACCACGGATAATAGGTTGTGAACCGCTTTGAGACGACCTACGAACAAGGTACTGATAAAGCAGTAAATAAGAACCTCAAATTATTATTATTATTATTATTATTATCATCATCAACACTGGAGTTATACAAAGTGTGAATTGTCCAGTAGATGAATTTTCAATAAGATTCAACAGTTTGGAAATATGTAACATCAAAGTTTTACTCAATACACACAAACAATGTACGGATTAAACATGTTGCGACATTTCAAGACCGACTGGTTCCTTTGAGACACTATGACTGAGTGAGGAGTAATTGATACCCAGACAATGTGACAAAATTGTAAACATTGTATGTCACTTGTCATGGGAGGATTTGCTTATTGATAGAAAGTGTATACACACTGTATCAAATAGGTTACTGGTAGGGTTCAGATCTATCCCCCTCTCCCGTTGGGTCAGTATCGGTTTATACAGATGAGTCAGCTGTTGTCCCCCCTTGTCTCTGTTCATGTTTTTTAGTTTTTCTGATTTTGATTGCTTCATTGATTTGTCTTGTGTTCATATGCTGTTTCCTTTCCACTATTTTGGCATTCTCCTTTAAATCAACATGTGATTTTGGGAGTTAGCGTGATCTGTTAATGTTGATTTATTGTAATGGGTGGCGGATGGTTTGATTGTGATTCTGGTAAAATTGGTATTCATGCTCATTTTACTATGCATTTTGATGTTCTTTGATATGTATTCCAAATTTCTTCCCAGTTTTCTCCTATACATAATGTCTGCAGATTCTTGCAAAGAATGTTTTATACAACTCTTTTGTTTTTAGAATGTCAGCCACAAGTAACTGTCTGAGTGTTGTCACTGGTTTCTTCAGGGTATGAAATGGTGTTTCCTCATTACCCATGCAAATGCCTCAGACTTCATATGATTGACATAAGAAGTTGACGATTTTGTGAGCGGATTGTTAATCTTTGAAACTCCCTTCCAGATGCCGTGGTTATGTCACCCGGAATAGTCAAAACATTTGAATCCCGATTGGATAAACACTGAATGCTTTTTTAACCACGAGATAGATAACAATGAACTTATTCATAATCAGGCCATCATCATATAAACTGATGTTTAATTTTATGATCTGGATATATAGGCATTATGCCTGCGTCCAGTATTATTATTATTATTATTATATACTCAAACACATTGTTCGAGAGCTAGCTAGAACCTCAACCAACGCATTGTTGAGAAGCTACGGAATCCCATACTCAAAACTCATTGTTCAGAAGCTAACCTTACACTCAAACTCAATGTGCAGGTACTTGAACTCAAACTTAAACTCAATGGTCAGTAACTTGACTTTTCATGTCAAACTACAATTTTATACACAAAGTTTTGTCCAATTGCTGAAAATGTTTCAGAAATGGCCATGCATGTTTATAAACCTGAATTTGACCATTAATAATTCTTGATGATCATGGTTCAATACATTTATTGTGAAATATATAGTACAAACGTTGGTAACACTTTTAACCTGTTGGTGATGATAACAATTTTCCAAATGATCATGCAGTACTGGTAAATTTTTACAAAGATGACTTAATTATCCCATAGATTATTATACAAAAACTGCACACTCAAATGAATTTAATCCAAGGAGTGGAATTAAACTTAATATTCACTTCACTTATGACGATATCTGCAACCTCACTGACATAAGGAGGGAGCTTAGTGACATCCATTCTTTAAGTTATACATACTTCCCACAAAACTCATCCGTCAAACATTTATTAACTGGTATATTTATATTTCTTATTCGGCATTATATAATAATCTTACTTAATAGTAACCATTTTTCATACGCAATGTTACATAAACAAAATATATGTAACAGCAAGAGGTAATTATTTTTTCAATGTCTCTGCTATAGGAGTCGAACCCAGGACCTCTGGCTTACTAGTCTTACGCTCTACCGAATGAGCTAAAGTGAAATTCTCCCTAGTGGAGTCGGTAGGAAGCGGCTAGTATTTTACCAGAGTGACATATATTTCAACATCAAGCAGAAATAAATTGAAAATATCGATCATAATACAAGTTTACTAATATATTGTGAGTCAATAGACATCAACACATAATCAAATCTATAAACATATGTACTCTCATGCGATAACTAAGCATCAAGCATTGTTCTGATTCAGATCTAGTTCTGTGTTTAGTCTCTCCGTCTCATCAGGACAACACCATTAGTAACCGCCACTGTAGTCGACAGCCGTAAACAATAACCTAATATTATATCAGTTTTGTACGCTAGCTATTACCACTTGCTAATGGGTCTACCAGGAATATTGGATAAACAAAATTGCTCATGTGTTTAATACAATATGTGTGAGGCTTCATTTAGGCCGACATTTCATTAATACAGAAAATCAGCCTCACAGATCATTATGCTTTATAAGGTCAAAATATATTACAAACCCTGTGCCTGCTAATATGTGTACATGGGGAGGTTTGTCTGTGTCAATCAGCTGAATGTTTCATTATATGTCTTTGAAGAATCCAATATCAGTCTCATTATTAAAAGCTGACTATAGTTTTAAAACATAATGAGAAAAAACTAATCACGAATAAACAAACTTTATTAACACTGACATTCATGCCTAGAAGTGTAAGATAGGGAAATTCCACACAAGGGGTTTTCAAATTTGGTAAAATTCAAGGCTTTGCCGAGCGTTTTGCCAAATTTGAAAATCCTGAGGGTGTAGTTTCCCTATCCTACACCTCTGGGCATAAAAGAGTATTTATTTCTCATTCCGACTACCAGAATAAGCTCAGAAACCATGAAAATGTGTTTGTGCTGGCTATACCATTATGAAAATATCAATTTTTACACTGAGCTTTTTTGACGAAAAGGAATCTGTCAGAAATTTCGCATACCTCGTATTTGCAAACATACACAGAAAAAATGATCTCATCTTTCTAACTCGCTTGGTCAATATGTTTTAAAGGTTTTATTTTTATCAAACTGCCTTTTCCACATGATGGCATCAGACTTTTCCAAATTCGTAATGTCGTTTTTGAGCAATTTGTGAAATGAAGTGTAAGAAAGAAATTTCTTCCACCGCTTTCTTATCCTGGACAGCTCTTTGTTACACACAAGGAAATGAGAGAATAACGTTTCTAGCCAGGAATATAATCTATATTATTACAAAGTAAAGGACTTAAAATTGTTAGCAAAAAATAGCTGTGTTTCTGAGGTAGATAAAACCCATAAGTTCCGAGTCTTGGGCTAGCTCGAACCCTTGTACATCCTGTTGTATTTTCTATTTGTGTTACATTCTGACTACGAAAAAGAAATGGAAACAAGAGACTCAATGGGCCTGCATCACTCAACTGGTATTAATCTCATACTTGTAACCTTAAAGTGATCCAAACTAAAGCTACAGGCAAAATATCAGTATTTATGACTATATAAAGTCATTCAAAACAACCTGTTAAAAGATTTTAAAACATTTGACCCCATGACCTTGAAAGTCCAAAAAGGTCATTACGTTGAGCAAACTTTATAGCCTTCATCTAAGCATGCAACTAGCCATATATCACTACCCTAGACCTTTTGTTTAATGAGATTAGGTCATTTAAAGGTTTATACATATCTGACCAAATGTGACCTTGTAATTGAGTCAAGGTCATTCAAATTACTATATAGCCCTCCATCCAAATATCAACATTCTGGGCCTCATAGTTATTCATAAGAAGTTGCTTAAAGATTTTAAACAAATTTGACTCCTGTGACTATGAATATAAGTCAAGGTCATTCATTTGAACAAACTTGGTATCCCTTCATCCAAGCATTCTAATGGCCAAATATCATCATCCTGGGCATTTTGGTTATTCAGAAGAAATTGTTTAAAGAATTTAAACATGTTTGACTCCTGTGATCTTGAATATAAGTCAAGGTCATTCATTTGAACAAACTTGGTTGCCCTTCATTCCGGCATGCAACTGGCCAAATATCATCACCCTAGACATTTTGGTTATTCAGAAGAAGTACTGTTTAAAGATTTAAATATATTTGACCGCTGTGAACTTGAATATGTGTGAAGGTAATTTATTTGAACAAACTTGGTAGCCCTTCATCCCAGCATGGTGCTGACCAAACATCACCATCCTTGTCCTTTTGGTTATTCAGAAGAAGTTGTTTGAAGTTTTTAACATATTTGACCCCTGTGACCTTGAATATAAGTAAAGGTCATTTATTTAAACAAACTTGGTAGCCCTTCCTCCCAGTTTGCCTCTGGCCAACTATCGTCACCCTTCATCCCAGCATCCTACTGGCCAAATATCATCATCCTGCAACTTTTAGTTACTCAGAAGAAGTTGTTTAAAGGTTTTTTAAGACAATTGACAACTGTGACCTTGAATATAAGTGAAGGTCATTTATTTGAACAAACTTGGTAGCCCTTCATCCCAGTATGCTACTGGCCAATTAATATCATCACCCTGGGCATTTTGGTAAATTCAGAAGTACCAGGTAGTCGTTTAAAGTTTTTAACACCCCTGTGAGCTTGAATATAGGTGAAGGTCATTTATTTGGTAGCCCTTCATCCCAGTTTGCTTCTGGCAAAATATTGACACCGGAATGCCGCGTCACGGCATAAGCTCACCTGGCCTGAAGGGCCAGGTGAGCTAAAAAATAACTGATATTTTATGTTAGGAAGATGATTTGATAATCCAAAAAGATTTTTTTGCATATAATTAAATTATTATTCATGATTTTCATTTTTACAGGTGATGCTTAAACTCGTTACAAAAAAAGTAATTCTCCTTTCAATTATCAACCTATAGTCAACCTTTGTCCTTTAACCTGACTTGTACATAAATATTTGCCTAGTGTACAACAAGTAAACATTTTGAGTGTTAATACGGATTCCATTGCTGATACGGTGACCTTCAAACATTGATTTCTTGCCGATGGAAATGCAAACAACTGAAAGTCAAATTATCAGTAAATGAGTTTGACCAATATTAATCGGACAAAAATATCCATGACAACCTACTTCTAAATGTTAAAAGTTAATTGTTAATTTGTACAAGTTTTCAAGCTTTCACAGCACTGCAATGTAATCTCAACACTTTTTGAAGGAATGTCTTATGCATTGACTTCTACTCAATCAACTCATTCTGCAGCCTGGAATGTAACACATCACATGTGCATTCGAGTGATAATGGTTGATTCAATCTATGCAAGAAATTATTCCACAGAATTGTCTTCCGAATTGGAATGGTTTCCACACATTTCTATGACTGTTTGTGTTATTATATCTAGAAATTGTGTTCATAAGACAATAGTTGTGGTAAGTCTGTACAATCTCCTCCAAGATAATTTCCACTACGGCTGGCCGGGCGTTAGATTAGACTCACCATGTCTTCTGGTATCAAATTTCACATCATGTCCAGTAGAGGGCGCTCTTATCACCAGCTTCCTTTTGATGCAGTGTGAACATGCATTATGGGAGGACAGTATTCCATGTTGCCAGGCCATGGTATACTGAATTATAATGTACAACATAATCTACAAAATGTTTGGTTTCATTGAGTGTACTTGAGACTAAAATTATACCATTATGTCATGCAAATCCAACATTTTACACACAAGTTATATTTGGGAGTTAAGTTACATAAGTGCTAGGCATTTTTCACATTCAGGAATGTTTTATTTGTGTCATTCTTTCTATACATAGAAGATACAAGATACTTTACTCCACTTGCTCCAGTCTACTCAGCTGTAAATGAGTACATAGTTGGGCAGTGCTAGAATTATAGAATGCTAACTATGAACGCCAAAATGGCAGCACCTGCTGTATGGTCCTTAGGGAGTTGAGAAAGATATTGGTTGGTTGCAAAGGCCCTATAACCACGGATAATTATTTGTGAACTGCTTTGAGACGACCTACGAACTATAGGTTGTGATAAAGTGGTATACAATAACTTCAAATTATTATTTTTATTACATTAACAATGATAAACTCTAACCAATGTTGTGATCCCTTTTTGAGTCCAAAAAGTATCATGCAAAACCAGAATCTGGTGTAACTATATAGTTAAGTTGACCTTCATATCTACACCTTTCTGCAATGAAAGGGGAAAGCTCTGGCTTTATATAGTAACAGTTTTTTGACAAGATGTATTTTTAAGATAAAATTTCACTAAGTCACCCTATAAGACCATAAACTCCAGCATTTGAACAGTTTTGAATCCCTTAATTCTCCCTACCAAAGTTAATCTGATTTCATTAACCCTTTCACCACTGTAGACCATAATGGACTCATCCATATCAATGCATGGTAGAGTCTACTTATAATGTTACATAGGGGTGAAAGGGTTTAAGAAGAAGTCCAAAATGTCAATTGTTAAGAATGACACACCACTGACAAGGTTAGATCACAAACATTAAATGTCACTTAATTAAGCCTTTGGTTTAGTGACCTAAAAATATGGTAATCTCTACAAAATGAAACTCATCCGTCCGACCTTGACCTTTTCAAAATCTTTCTGTTTACTTAAGACATCCTTTTGACTCTTCATATAATCTTTAATTATCTGTTGACTTGATATCCCCTCAGGCATTAAGGTATGGAATTTATAGTAATGGAAATAAACCCTGATTTACTGGAGATAGAAAAGTGATAATTTCACCTAAAATATTTTTATTTGTACATGGCGTATGATGCATAAAATGAAGAAAGCCATTTCTTTCTTTCTTTCTAATGGAGTTCTTTAATGCAAAGAGTATGAGAACGTAGATTTTTATATTGAGTAGAATGGTTTGATAATGGAGTTGGTGATTTTGTTGGTTTATCATTTATACTGCGGAATCATGCAGGTTTCATCCAGTTGACCTTTAGCTTACTTTTACCCCAAATAAGGAGATCATTTTTACCTTGACCTTCACCCTATAATTTTACCATTTATTAGAACCCCCATCACTATCATCAGTTTCATCAATTGTTTACCCTTAATTTACAATCCTCACCTTGAATTCATTCAGTGTCTTAATTTACCTTTGAAATTAGCCAGAATCATCTTCACCTTGAATTTCATATTGTGATAATTATCTTAACAAGTCATTCTCAACCTGACCTTCATTAAACTTTAGTACCTATAATGACAATCATCTTCACCTCCACAGTCTATTTTTAAGTCTAACTCATCCTTACTCTGAATTAATACATTGTCGTTTATTAATCCGTAACCCTTTCACCACTGTAGACCATAATGGACTTATCCAGATCAATGCATGGTAGAGTCTACTAAAGTTACATAGGGGTGAAAGGGTTAATATGTCAGAATCTGTCTCCCCTTGACTTCTCTCCAGTATTTTACCACAAAACATATCCTTGTTGAGCTTACCGAAAGATCCGCGAGCCAAGGACATATACTTTCTTTTCATGATTTTGCTCACATTGAAATAATATCTATTTGACTACAATAAAGACTGTCTGACTACATCATAAACAGATATAAACATTAGATAATGTTATGGGGTGACAACATAAACAGGTATAAACATTAGATAATGTTATGGGGTGACAACATAAACAGGTATAAACATTAGATAATGTTATGGGGTGACAACATAAACAGGTATAAACATTAGATAATGTTATGGGGTGACACCTTGTAACGTTGAAGTCTCCTGTGTATTTAGAGGCCTATAACATTTTGTATTGATCCAATAGGCTATTCAGTCATCCTTCGAAAACGAATAAAATGCTTGTTATTGTCTCCAACAGGACAGAACTCAGTTTCAGAGCCTTGATTTTTTCTCCTACTGAAGGGCATTGTCTTCCACAAAGTAACAAACTTAAAAGGGTTCAAAGGATCGGAGTAATTAACTCTTGTCACAATAATTAATTGATCTTCTTTTTATCATTTTTATGTCTTAGTTCAAAAAGATTGAAGAATTCATCAAGATAATAGCTAAGATTCACCCGAACGAGATTGCATCCCCCGGACCTGGGAGTGGAAAGTAATAACATTGTTTCCTATAAAGCTCCCATATTTTCCCCACGCAGTAGGCGGTGACGTGAACGAAGGACAATCAATTAATTAGAAAACTATAAACAGCGCTGTCTACCCATTGTAATGCTGTAATCTTAGCTATAGGCTGTGTCCGCAAATACGGAAAACACCAACCAACCTTAATGGCATGATTGATACGACTCCTCAGTAAAATTTGCTTCAAGATAACAATATTTTGGGATTTTTCCTTGAAGGAATACATGCCTCAAAATCTGTCAGGTTTCTTCTGTACACAAAAAGAAAATGAAGATAAAATTTTAAAAAGATTGACAAAGTCGAAAACAAATAATGATAAATATGTAAACATTTACAATCAAAAAGAGGTAAACAAAATTTAAGTTTTTTTCAATCTTATATAGCCCGAGATATTTCAATATAAAATTGGACAATTCTTTTTGGTGTATTTGGGGAGATTACCACTAATGACATCACCATGCACCGTGTCAGCTATCTCCATCCTTGGATGAATCGGTATCATGCATTTCCTCATGAATTGATCATTCATCATTTGAAACAAATCGAAAGTTTGGCCTCTTGCCTGGAGAAATGTGATTGATGGAAGCTAGAGAATGCCCCTGAATGAATGTACTTTCTGAAGCCTTAAACCTGGACCTGAAGGAGCATTTGCAATGTTTTTTTTGAAAAGCCAATTTGTTTTTCAAACAGTCAGTTAATTAATTGTCTTCCGATTAACCTTTCCACATCTATTTAAGTCACCGGTAAAACTCCAACTGATAGATTCAGAAATAAATAACGTTTTTTCTTAAAAAGGTTAATTCATTGGAAATGTGGTTGGCAGCTATTTATCTTCTGCAATGCAGCTTCAACGGTATACTGCCAAGATCAATCTCACTAAGGACCTAAAAACTTTGTTCCAAGGGCATTTAACCTTGGCGAATATATCTCGCACTTGTTAACAACATTTTGAAGAAAGAAGGTTTCTGAGTAAGAAACTTGTGAAATTGTGGCAAATAAGTTATGCATATTTGTAGAAAACTTCATTTTGATGCAATATGGGGGAATTGTATTTGAAATACAAAAAGTCACCCTGCATGGTAAATAAAGTATGTAGCCAATTCATTCCGACTCTGTTAGGGAAACCTCTGTTTAACGTATTATAGGTAGAGAGTCAGACTTACTAAACCTTAGGTCACAGGATCATTTTCATTAAGCTGAGGAAAAGAAAAAAATAATCACTGTTAAACAAATCTTCATGAAAATATGGACCTTTGTTAATGCATTCACCCTTGAAATTTCATAATGAACTATTCCAACCTTTGAATTGGAAGAGTTCAAATGTGTCTTCAGGAGTGAATGAGTTAAACAGTTTTATATGATTGTTCTTCAAATGACTTATTCACAAGGCTTAATAAGTTGAATTCTTAATTTAAAAAATAACAAATACAGCGGTATATGCAGTTGTTTAAATGTGAGAAAAAGGCCATTCCCACCATTATTGAATTTTTGATCTGAGCTCTATTTTGACTTCACACAGTGCAATATTCTGTATTTTTGCAAAATATGGAACCAAATAAGAAAAAAAATCTGAATGCATTTGTTTCCAATCCAAATTTTATATCAGTGTTCAATTCTTGTCAAATTATATATCTGTCCTTTATAATTTATCTGAAAATTGAATTTTATGTTTGATTGTTGCCAAATTGTGTCTTGCTTAAATAATCATACAATATTTTGATCAGACATGATCGATGCTTATATTCAATTAAAAAAAAAAGGCCCTATTTGCCGACTGGAATGCATGTGATGTTTAATTTTCTCTGAATCAAGATACACACTGAAAGTGAGTGAGTAAGTAACGGCAGACTGGGTCAGAAAAGCCAGACAGTTACGATATCTAATACATTATCAATTACAAACCTAAGTCAATATATCTCACAACGTTCATTATTACTGATCAAAAATGACAAATTTGAACTAGTCTATCAAATGACACACTTTTAACCCTTTCACGACTGTAGACCATAATTAATGGACTCATCCAGATCAATGCATGGTAGAGTCTACTAAAGTTACATAGGGGTGAAAGGGTTAAGGGAGAAAATGAAATTCTGATATATCATGTGAGATGCCAGACATGCATTCATTTGTTTCTGATGAAAAAAAATGAGCCAGACTATCATGTTTGTTTCTGACATACAATTAGAGGCCAGACAATCATGTTCCTGATATACAGATAAGAATCTGTTGGGAGCCCTGGTGCTGCATAAATGACCATGACATACATATTTGGGGCAAGTGATTAGCATCTCTGTCTGACTTAATCATATGCATATTTCGAGATATAAAAAGCATGTGCATGGTAGGAGCTATAGACAAGGGGAATGTTCTTGGTATACTTTGTCA